TTTAATAAGTTCTAATATGTCTAATATATGTATACGCGCGATTGAGATCATCTTCAATCTATCGACATCGAAAACGTAAATGATAAACCGCAATTATAACTTTTTAAACTTGGTTATTATAAAGTGGTCTTATATTGTAATTAAAAAATTATTCATTATTAATAAATAAAATAATGCGCCATAAGCCAGAGCAGTGTTATTTAATTGTCAATATAATAAGATTCGTAAAAATGCAATTATACAATAGATGTATGTACTCAACAGATATATTGCTATTTATATTATATTATAAATTAAGGTTAAACTTCAATATGAATTGCTGCAAAATTCCTTTTCATACGCAACAAATGCGATGGAAACAATTCTGAAAAATTTGAACAGTGACATTTTGCTGCTGCTGCGTGCTGCATATGAAAAGGCACCTTTATAGTAAATACAGAGAACATTTTCTTTGAATATAATGATATTTATTCATGCTGTAGTACATAAAAATATTTTTTTAAACTTTTTTTCTTATCTTTAAGGATATATTATATAATCCGTCTTCAATTCGACATCATTTTTAATTACCTATTTTTCTAGTACTTTTGCGATACTGCCATAAGCCGGTCGTATGTTTCTCTGATAATCTAGGACTCTAGTCTATGCCAACTTCACAGTTCACGCTGCTGTAACGGAAATAAAGTCAAAAAAGAAATTAAAGGACGACTTGTAAATACATTTGTATCTCTCTTATATTTATTTGATGCAAATTCTAATATTATGAAAGCACCTGTGATTTTACAGACAAAAATAGAACGATAATCAATCGCGTGATCTCCGACCTGAAGCGCAGTTTAAAGCTTGCACTGATCCGTTCACGGGAATGAGAGGATGAGAGGTCGCTCGGCTAAATTCGGTTGGTCGATAAACGTGGTCAAGACACAGAAGCAGTGACTAGGTCCTAGACTAGGTCATTGCACGGAAGTCGGTTCGTTCCGTTCGTTCCGTCGATACTCGATAGTCGCGATTGAAATAAGTCAGTCCCCTCCTGCAGGCATTTCGCATACATTCGCTTCCACTCATACTCGACTTAACATTCCAAGGGCCGACTACACCTACTGTCTCTTCGAGACTGTTCCTTGGTAAGTGTGACCGCCTGCTGCAAGTGAGTAAAAGTCGGTTCATGGTTCGTGACCCGTTCATCGTTTCTAATATCGTGTTGCGTAAAGAAAAATTTGTTCCTTGTGTATTTTATCGTAACATTTATCGAGAATTCTAGTTATTCCGACGGTTATGTTTCAATTCATGTTTTATCCGTCCGATCAATTGTGTGCAGACCAAGAGGAGAGAGAGAGAGAGAGCGCGCGGCCATTTTCTACCGTAATGTGTGCGAATTTACCGCCCGGCACTTGTCATCGTCGGCAAGATTTATCGACGTATATCATTCATGTATCCACCCGAAGCTGGTTCGAAATTGACCGAGATGAACTCCGGACTCCGACAACTTGCTCGCGAAAGATCTGTCGGTCACGACCACACGACACATACGCGCGTTACGTAATATTCGGCGCTCGACGGCGGACAAGTTCACGAGTTAGACGCGTGCGGGTCCTGCTATGCAGCTAGCTTCACGATATTCGCGGAAGTCGCGCTGCTAGTTCTCGTAACCGTGCGTATTTTCGTTTTTCAGGTATTTTGCATAGTATCTCGCGAGACACGACATTACAGCAAACGTCATTATGTACGCCTGCAGCCGATTCATCGCGCCCGTCGCCAAATCCACCGTGAGTAAAAAGAAAATGAAAAAGATTCAACCACGATTTCGTGAAGAGAGTTCCTGCGTGCACATGTATTATATAATAACTCGCTGTGCTCGAACATCTTTCTCAAATGTGTACATTTTTTTTTTCACTTTGATATAGTTGGTCTCTAGCACCAAAACCTATCTACGGCCACTGAGCAGTGCCGTGATCAGCCATAGTCAGTACTTACAGCAGAATCAATTTCAAACGCCCGTCAGTTTGGTGAGTTGTCCTTTTTTCTCCCTGCATATTGCATAACTTTTCGAGATCAAGGTTACATAAGTGACTAAAGTTACCGTTCAAAATAAAGATTTTGAATCTTGCAACTTGATATTGATAATTTTGAAAATTTTATTATTAGTGAGAAAAGTATAGGTAGATTACTACTGATTGTCTTAGTAGTTAAAGTTAACCACTAAGTTGTGCAATAATTATGTATTGAAATTAAGTGTAAACACTTTAATTAGACAGAATTAAATAATTTATATAACATTTGATAGTATTTAGATATTTTATAAGTCATGATTGTTGAATGTCTTGAATATTATGTGAATATTTTGACTATGAATGTATATCTTAAGGCAGATTTTCACTATTCTAATAATTTGTTAAAATTTTAATTGACTATTAATAAATTAATCAATAAATATTTTAATTATGTTATATATGTTTCTACGTTAATTATACTATTAATGTTTAGTTAATAAGATTGATTTTGAAAAAACAATGGTTATGTTAAGTATTATTTAAATCTATTTTATATAGATTGTATTTCATTGTTCACTGTGAATACTGAGAAACTATAATATACATAATGTTAGCTATAAATTTTCAGTACTTGCAATGGATAACAGATTGCAGTCAATAATTAAATTTTAAAAAATTTTAAATATGTTAAAATTGTAAAACAAACTTTTTAGAGAGTTATACATTCTATTTTGTGTGTGTTTTCTACTTTTCATAGCACATATATATATATATATATATATATATATATATATATATATACGTGTGTATATGTAATATAAAACAAGTTAATAATATCTAATTCATGATGTTTTGGTGCAGTCACCTATTGTACGTAGCTTCCAAACTTCCACAGTCAGTCGTGATATCGATTCTGCTGCGAAATTTATTGGCGCTGGTGCTGCTACTGTGGGAGTAGCAGGATCTGGTACGTATCTGCAAAAGTATATTATAATTATCAATTTAAAAAATGCAATTTTATAATAACGCAGCATTAAAAATAGTAAAATAGTAATAATAGAATTTATACTGATAAATCTACTAATGAAGTATATTTAATAAATCATTTTGAATTGATTGTGAAAATTTTTTCTGTGTAATTACTAATTTTTTAATAATATATCTAAATATTTTTAACGATATCTTTGATTAACTTTTTTGTGTTCATAAAAATCTTAGAATTAGAATACTTTATCAAGTAACATAGTTAAGTTAAAAATAGATTATATCATTGTTACAGTTTATACATTTTTTATGATTTTTAATATATTAAAATTTATTTCTTTATATAAATTTTCTGTTTATATTAGGATGGAAACTTTTTGAAATGTTATAAATTAAGTTTTTCTTTTTTCTTTAATAGAGTTAATAGAATATAAATTTATTAAATCATGTATTATGTCACATTTTAATTTGTTATTTAAAAATTTACATTGTTATTTAAAGAAACTATATATTATAGGAATTGGTATTGGTTTAGTTTTTGGATCCTTAATAATTGGTTATGCACGTAATCCCTCCCTGAAACAGCAAGTTTTCAACTATGCTATCCTTGGATTTGCACTGTCTGAAGCAATGGGTCTCTTTTGCCTAATGATAGCGTTCCTTATATTATTTGGATTTTGAATCCAATTCCTTGGAACACATCCTTTCCCATGGAAGTAAAGTTATAACATACAATTTTATTTGTTGCATGTAAATCTTCAGGAAAATACATTTAATTATTTGACTTTTATGCAAGTAAAATGCGTATATATCTAGATTGTTATTTAATACATTTTACACATCACGCGCGCACACACACACACACACGAACACACACACACACACAAATACACACGGACAGTCAGTTAGTCAGTATATTTGGCACATATCCTTAAGTTCATTCCGTAATAGTCGATGGTTTGTTATTCCAGGTGCTGGTATTGGATCTGTATTCGGTTCGCTAATCATCGGTTATGCCAGGAATCCTTCCTTGAAGCAACAATTGTTCTCGTACGCCATCTTGGGATTTGCCTTATCCGAGGCCATGGGTCTATTTTGTCTTATGATGGCTTTCTTGCTCCTATTCGCTTTCTAAGCCACGATATCTCCACATAAGATACTTCTGATATAGTTTTAGTGCGTCACTGCCAAGACAGCGTCGCCTGGCTTCATGGAAAGACGGCGATTGTCTGGTTGCGCGGGATGCCATGAAATCATTAGAGAAGCTCAGATTTTTCATGGTTCGATGGGGTGCAACGGCGCGACAATGAATGAGAAATAATAAAAAAATTAATACATCATTGTGCGGACTGTCCTTAGCCCCGTCCAAGACTTCAGCTTGTTCATAATTATTTCATGGCCTACTGTCTCATGTAGCGTATAACTCACATTATTATGAAATAATGGATTTCAGTGTAACGAATGAATAAGACATTGAAAATTGAACAAAAAAAGAAAGCGACAGCTTCACCCGCATACCCATACACGCACGTACATACTCTGTTAGAGTGTCCTATGTGACATAGTACATTTTTTGATGATCTTTTTGTTATCTAAAGGATTCATCATTGTTGTGCCGCCGTGTACGCACGTTTATTGAAGTTATTCTTAATGAAAAAAGAAAGAAAAATTGTACAGTAACGAATAAACATCTTTGTCGTGAAATCATGGATTTTTTAACTTTGCATTTACTATTTCCTTTTTTGCCAGTTCTCTGTTTCAAGACAACTTGAATTTTTATGAATTGTAAATCCAAAATATATATTTAATTTATTTATAACAATACTTTAATACATATATTATACAAATGATATTTAAAAACATTTATGTAATATATATATATATATATATAAATAATTTAACTTCATAAAATGTTCTTAGAATATAACATTTTGTTTTACAGAACTATTCTAAGATAAAAATTAATAACGAACATATTTAAAAATGATGAAAAAGATAGTAAATTATAACTTGACATTAGAAATATAGTATAATATAAAATATTTGTTTTTCTTTTATCGATAATGACATATACTATAAAGAATAAAGTTTTTTTATTCTATTTTCAAATACATTGACTTTTTCAAAATTAGAGACAAGTAATCCATATTCTGTTTAACAATAAAAGTATAAAAATATAGTATACATACATATATATACATATATGTATGTATACTATATATATATAATATGAGGTTACGCGGGATGCCATGAACTTATCAGAAAAGTTCAAATTTTTTTTTTTTTTGGTTCAGTGAAATGTGACAATGAATGAGAAATAATAAAAAAATAGCACACGCACGTATGTATGTTACGCACATGTGTGCATGATGTAACGTGTATGCGCTTTTAAAGAATTCAATTCTGACTCTTAATGACTTAAAATATTTTTTGCTTTATTTATCAGAATTCATGAATACACATCTTTATAAGTTATCTTTATATTAGGTTTAATATGGTATTATTTAATAGGTATTTAATATACCATCAAATTGTTTTATACTGTAGCATTTAAATCTTTTAATTAATATTTTTAATAAATTAATATATTACATTAAAGTTACAAAATAACATAATTTTTTTTTATATCGGGTTTTGGCAAAAATAATTTACTTAGATTTTCATATTATTTGCATTCAAATTTAATGTACACATGTACATAGGAACAAATTTTAAATGTGTATATTTATAAACACATTTACGCGCATTCATATTTTATTTATAAATTCCATATTACAAACTATGCTACAAAAATCACTACTTATATTTAAAAAAATTATTGGTATACTTATAACAAGAGCATCAATGAAAATTAATACGTCATTCTTAAATAAAACTGCGAATATTGTAAATCAAAATTTTTGTATCTTGTTTGGAAATCATTGATGTATACAACATTATGTTGTATTTAAAAAAAACTAATTTGATACGACATAAATTTTCAATAAAAAGAAAGCTTATATTTTTATATTAAATTATTCAAACTTGAAGTATTACAAGTACAAATTAATCGTGCAACATATATGCCGAAAAATACATGTTTAATAAAATATATACTTTGGTATATATAACATTATTGGGTTCAAAACTCTTATGTTGCACAAATTTTTATCACAATAGAATTATGCATTAATTTCTCTATGAAATCTCTGTTAAACTTCTATATATTTCTTAGCATACGGAATTCATGATTTATAATACTATTATGTTTAAATAAAAAATCGCAACAAATATTTTTTATGACAATCATCATATAATTTAAAATATTTTAAAACTATTTGGTAACATTTAATTGTTCCAATAGATTCTCTCTTTCTCGGAGACATGCCCATGCTTTCTCATGATCTTTTCTCGTCAATGGTACTTTTCTCTGTTTTGCCAAGGTCAATTTCTTATAATGTTCTATCACCTCATTATCCGCAACGCTAATTTTCCGTTTCAACGCTTGCCTTTTGCTTTCCTCCTGGGCTAAATTTAATAATCTCTTTAGCTGCGTAACATTATGATTAGATAACGCAGTAAGTTCTTGTTGACATCTTTTAATTTCTGCAAAAATTTCATTATCTTCTTGATTCTTTTTTTGCGCATCCGGTTCCAAGATACCTTGCTCGATCAATTCTTTATGCATTCGTAACTCCAAGTTTATGGAATTGTGGATAGATAGGTCTCGCAAAACAGGTGGATCTCCATCTCGGAATAATTTATTTTCCATGTTATTATTTGCAACATATACGTTCTCTTCCAGCAGTGCAGAAACCAATCTCTGAGTAAGAGGTCCCGCGATACTATTAGTTTTTTTGTCACTTTTGGATATCAAGTGTGATATATCTGTGCGATTTTTCTTCTTGTCTCTGTTTGGGTTGGCTGCATCTTCCTCCTGCAATAAATCATTATGTGCCCACATTAAGCTATAATGACGGCCTAAAGAAGGAATCTTCTTAAATTCACTTGTATCTCCATGGGTAGCAATCAATTCCTCCAATAATTTAATATCATCAGGCATAATATCAGTGCAATAGGGATCTACTGATGCCCAAAACTTATTGGGTGTATCATTTTTTGGTAAGAGCAGCTTTGGTACATCAGACTTAGATCCTTCGATTCTCGAAATTTCATGTAAGTTTGGCACAACCTGACTGGTTGAACTTCCTACTGTCTTCTGCTTAAAGAGTTTTGTATGTAAAGGCGACTGACTCTTGGTGTTGATCTCCTTCGGCTTAAATTTTTCTTCACGTATCTTCTTGTCAAGTAGAGATAAACTCTTACCACTCTTTGATCTTCTCTCTCTACGTTCTTCTGCTGAAAATAAGTTGGCAATCTCATCTTGAAGTGTACGATGCCGTACAACAACTGCCGACAAAAGTGTTTCAAGCTCTAATTGCAATGTATCAAGATCATCCATTACAACGCCTTCTTCGGTTGTACGCTTTAAGATACTGGTATATCTTGGCAAATGTCGACTATTGTCAACTGTCTTTAGAAGAAATTGAGAAGTTGTTGGCTCTGGTACTTCTGAATTTCCATCAGAATTTGCTGTTGAAGATTGTTGTGAAGTTTTCCCGGATTCACGTATCTTGATGACAGCTTTCTTAGAACTCTGTTTCCCTTTTCCAGACATATTTTTTAACGTGTTGTGACAATCAGGAAATAATTAATTGTTGCCTCGCAGAAAGCGCGCTTTTGTTCTTGTAATTAATTTGAAACAGCCTCAAACGAATCTCACGTTAAATCTGTAATTAATAATTATAATTATTAAACATAATTATTCAACATGAAGTAAACTTCAATGATTACTGTAAATTATTAGATTATAAATGTCAGTCTCATTTACTTCATTTTGTTTTTTAAGCATAAAATATCAATATCACATACTGTAACGTAAATAGTATATAAGTCATATAAGATTACGCAAATTGTCGTTTAGGTTTAGGTTATATCACTTACATGCACCACCATTGATAACCATTAACATAGCAAGGGCACAGTATATACAGTACACTGAAATATAATAATACTAAAACGCGCACTGGCGCTAGTTTCGCGATCCGACAAAGAAGTTCCTAAGGGTGCGTTCCCACTGAGCGCGTCACGCGTCGCGTTATCCGAATTGACCAATCAAAACATTCCATTTTATTGCGTAAGTTGCCACGCAATCCTGGATTTTATACAAAAAAAGATTATTTTATCTCTAGAATGTCGAGTAACCTAGAGTCCTAGATTATCAGAGAAGCGCGACCGGCTTATGGCAGTATCGCAAAAGTACTAGAAAATATTAAAAATGGCGTCGAATGGCCAATCATAAGTTTGATTTATTAGACAGCCATTTATAATAGCGATAAATCAATCTTATAATTGGCCATTTGCGTGTCCAACCAGGACT